TATATATATATATGTATATGAATGAATCCGAGCCATTCCCCCTAACTCCCGTCCACCACTTCCAAACAAAAAAAGGAAAAAGAATCCTTTTTTTTTCCTCCCCTAAAAACCCCCGCGCTATGATACGCTCATGCAGTCGCAACGAAAAGAGACGCATGATCCTATCACACATCCCCTTTCTCACCCCTACTGTGGGTATATCGCTAATACAGAGGGGCGCTTGTGTGTACATTTCGGTTTGATCTCTCTTTTTTACTCCGTTCGAATCCGTCAGTAGTCTTCTTCCTTCACTAAACATCACCTTTGTCAGTATGTGCCAGAATGAGGCGCAGAGGCTGTTGCCAAAGGAAGGAATGAAAAGAACGAAATGACACATTGTCAACACGCTGGGTGTGTAGTGGGGGGACAAACTGGAGGAAATGAAAATAGGGGTGAAATGTCGCGTTTGAGCCAGATTTATTTTTGGTTGCTGTACCGTACTACTTTTCAAATGACTAACTCACATTTACGCAGACGCAAGCACAAGGACTCTTCGGCCGGTGCTTTTTTTTTCCTGTTTCTTGCATGCTCTTTGATGACGCCCCCTGCTATTGGTGCACACACACCTCTCCATCGCCCTTTTTTATGCCTCCCACCCCATAGTTCGCACAACAAGAGGCACGTCTCCACAGGCGAAAAGGGATGAAAAAAGGGGCTGCAAGTGAATGTTGTTATGCATATGGCAGAAGCTACGCTTTCTCTAGCTGAATCCCACACGTGGCGTGTGTGTGAAAGATGGATAGAGCGAGAGAGAGAGAGAGAGAGAGGGAGAAATAGGCCTCCTTGACTGATTCTTCTTAGACAATCGGTGGAACATGTGGCCTCTGTTGCCAGCTAGTCCCGTAAACCGCTGGAAAGGCGCAAATGTCAATTTTCACAGAGCACAGAGTGGAGGTGGATGCTGTTCCACCGGCGAGGAGAGGCAAGAGGAGCGCATAAGGCGGAGGGGTGGTAGTGCTGCCACATAAGGAGGGGCAAAGCAATGAGAATTGGACTGTGAGCATTCGTGGCGGCGGCCAAATGGAGGCCTTCGTGTTGTGCTGTGTTGTGTCCCCTCTCGCCCTGAGTGTGTTGTTGGGTTGAGGAAATGGGCGACGTGCGCCCCTCGCGGGATGGCACTTGACGCCCCAGGACCGTCTCGACTTTTATCTCCCCAAATGTTGCCACCGCTGCCGCGGCAGCATTGTGAATCAAAGAAGGGAAGGAGAGGGTGAGAGAGAGAGCGTTGGTGCTGTATACAGCTCTCCTGGATGTTATGGATCGGCTTCTCATGCCACTACTGCTGCTTCTTCGTTGGGCTATTCTCCTGCGGCTTCTCTGGGTCTTTTTTCGTTTTGTTTTGCGTTGCGTGGCCCACCGCAATGACGGGCGTAACGCAAAGGGATGCGGGTGCCCGCGCCTTTATGTCACACCTCCCACGGACAACAGAGGCGCAGTGTGGAGGAAAACGTCTGTTATCAGCCGAGTTTGGATTCCTGCATTCCTGTTTGGTGCTTTCGTTGTTGTTGTTGTTGTTGTTGTTGTTGTTGTTGTTGTTGTTTGGTGCACTGTGTGAGATGTGCGTTGCTGTGTTGCGTAATCTGTCCCACACGCATGGGCTGAGGAGCGGAGGGCGGGGGGGAAACAGCCCGGGTTCCTGTCGGCAACCCTGTGATTCCTTGATCCCTTTTTTCTTGTCTGTTTGGGTGCTTCATTTGTGTATTATATACGCACTGCGTTCATAGATGGTATCTCTCCCCTTCATTCTTCAGGTCTGGCAACACGAAAGAGGGTTGGTTTCTTTGTTTGTTTGTTTTTCGTTGGTGTTCCCATCACTTACTTCATTTTACTTCCTTGGTGGAAGGAGCCCAAACACGCACGCTGCACAAAAACACCGGTCGATGCGAAGGAAGTAAAGGACTCAGGAATGTCTTCAGATACGGTGGCTGGAGTAGTGATTCCAATAGTGGTAGTTGTACTTCTTGTGGTTGGTGTTTTGTTCTACCTCCGTCTGCGCAAACTACGCAGCCAACAGCAGCCCTCTTCAAACAATCGCGCTGACACCTCGCCGAGTAAGAAAGCAGCAAATACACAGGAGCACAACAGTAGAAGCAGCGATGGTGAAACGCACGCTGAGGTTCGGCCGTTGGAGGAGCAGGGGAATGCTTCAGAAGAGGCAGTTAAAATTCCAAGGAGATCTAATGCTCTCCATCGAAAAAAGACACCAGCGGTGCTTTTTGTGCCACCGGGTAACGCTCTCGCCGGTGAGATGGATGATTCGCATGACGCAGATGCCGATACTGACACCAACACTGAAGAACGGCCATGGTCCGACATCGTCTCTGCGACGAGCTTCGGGAAACTGGTGGAGTCTGTCGATGGAAGCAATAACATGCTCTTTCTTGCGCAGCGTGGAAGAGCATCCAACACTGGTGCAAGTAAAGATCAATGGCCGCACGAAGTCTCTGAAGACAGAGGAGGGACGGGCAAAAAAGAGTGGACAGAGCTGCAACGTAGCAATTGGGAAGCAGAGAAGACAAAACATACGCATTCGGATCGGGGAGCGAACGCAAAGACTAAGACATATGATGACAATCGCCAGAATGTGTCATGGACCACAAAAAACGATTCTGTCGAGGACGCCGGAAACGCTACGCACACGATAGTTGAAAGTGAGCAGATTGCTTTGGTGGCAGAAGAGGCAAAAATAAATGACCGCTGGGGCATGGGAAATAAGAAACGGTGCCCCAAACGCCACAGAAAGAAATCTGCGACAGATCACCCTTTACCCATTACATTCCAACCCGTTACAATGCCCGAGAAAGGGGGTATTTTCAAAAATGAGGCTTCGGCCCCCGAAGATAGGCACCCGGAACAGATGAAGAGCGGCAGTGGTGACACAAACCGAGAAGAGCATTCTGATTCCAACTTGAATACGGCTTCGGAGCAAGAGGAAGACGGAATGGCCTGGCCGCGAGCGACCTACACAATCGGGGATGCCCCGCCACTTGTTGGCGATGTCGTAAGGTATCAATACACCAGAAAAAGTGTGAATTTATCCGCTATGAGTCAAAGTATGGATGAAATAACTCCAGATGATGGGGTGGTGACGAGGCGACGAGAGAGGCGAATGCTGTATGAATCGGTATCGAGCTGCACTAAAGGTGCTGAAGCACCGGCTGAGGCCTTGGAGCTGGTCGAGTCAAATGGGACGCTTCGAAGTCAATGGCCCTTTTTGTCACAACTCCTTTCGAAAGGTCAGGTATTGGAAGCCGCTTATGAAAGAAATGTGCAAGCGGTAAAGCCTCAAGTTGGGTCTTCGAGTCAAAAGGGATCTTGTCGTGATCAAAGATTTGGGAGCAGCATGGATGATTACTGTTTTGGCGGCAGTGGTGATAGAAGCGCGGGAGATACCCAGAGATTGGTTAGTACGCAGGGGACGAATGAAGGAGGCGCCGTTCCCAACACAAATTCTCGCACCGGCAATGCCCGGGTCGAGGAGGATGCTGTAACAACAGATCCTTACATGCTCAGTTGGTTTTCTTCGTACAAACCACTTTCGAGGAACAAAGGCACCTTGAATGACCCCCACTAAAGTGGCACAGATCCCTTTGATAAGACTTCAGATCAAGCCCATCAAACGAATAGTCGGGCCCATTGGAGTTGACATTGATCAGCGGGTCTGGGAAGCGCAGGAAATGTCCCAGAATTGGACTCTTGTGGCAATCTGCCATGCCAAGGGCTCAAAGTAACGCATGCCACCGTCGAGGAGAGAAAAAAGGGGTGCGAGGAATTGAATGGGAAGGACTGCATTTCCTCTTCACCACCCCACCCCCAGGCTTTTCGCGACCTGTAAGAGGGAAGGGGGTCAGGCTATTTTTTTACGTTTTTTTATTTGTGGCAGAGCGACGGCTCTCTATTTTGTTTTTTTAGTTTTTTTTCATTGCTCATTTCCTTTTTTCTGTGTGCGTGTGTGTCAGTTCTGTGTATCGTTTTTTTGTTCGTTTTTTTATTATTTTATTTGTGGCGACGCGGCTCCCCTCACCCAATCCAATCCACCCTCCAGAAAAGAAAGGCCTTTCACCCACCACCACCGTGCTGAACTGGGGGAAGAGGCAAACGTATCGCCGGGGCGTTTTCGGCATTGTTGTTATTATTGTTTTTCTTTTGCCGGAGAGGGGGGGGGAAGGGTCAAATATTGCGCGTGGTAAGTTGATGTTGATTTTTCTTTTTTTTTCCCTTCAATGTTTCATCATTCTAGAGAGGAGGGGGCAAAACGTGGGGTTTTTTTTTCTTCTGCTTGATGATCCGCCACGCCACGCCATGCCTCCTCCACCACCCGCACAGCTGGTGGGCTGGGAAGTGCCCCCAGTGCCTATTTTCGTTTTTTTTTCTTTGTATTCGCTGCGACTAATTGGTTCGAACAAAACGCGCAGCTTGGGCAGAAGAAAACAACAGCTTGTTTCTTCTCTACCTTCTTCGCTTTCTTTTGTTTTGAACGGAAAGCCATACTTGGACTGTCCTTGGGGGGGGGGGCGTTTTGTGTTGTCTCAGCGGGGGAACCCGCAACGCGATTACGCAGCCGTACGTGTTGATTTGGAGCAGCGCGAGGCTGGGATTTCACAGGATGTTGTGGAGGCCGACAACCAAATTATAGCGCAGCAGAAGCCGAGACATCTAACCAAGCGAATCAGTTGGAGGCTTCGCGCGCCGAACTTCAGTCGGATTCGATGGCACGTCAGTCAGCGATGGGGGAAGCTCGAGTAGAATTGTAGCTTCGGAAAGAGGCATTGCGAGGGGCGAAGGCGCGATTGGCTCGGCTTTTGGAACGGGATGGCGCCCGCCCGCCCGGCAACGGCACCAACACACACCAAGCCGTTGCCCACCAATCCGCGTTCGTCGTCCGCGGGGTTTCCTTCCAGCGGAGGGATACCTATTTTTAAAAAAGGCCTTCCTTTTTTTCTGCGCATGTCACTCCTTGGCAGGACACGCACAAGCCCCGGTTATATCACGAAGGGGTCGGAGGCACACCCTCGCAAAATTGTCTGGCTGGCGTCTACCCGCGGGAATACGTTGCAGAGAAAGAGGGTTCTTATGGATTCCGTCTATTTGATATGGTAACTTGGGTTCCACGCTTTTTTGGCCGGTGACATTCCCGAGCCGATCCTTGCAATTGGAGGCGCTTATGATAATTGCGGTCAAGACGCCCCTCATCTTAAAGAGTCTTTTGCCAACGTGGAGGCCTGGATTGCAGCCGCGGGGGCTGGGGGTAACCCGTTTCGCATCTTTTGGACCTCAGTCGGTGTCTATTGGATAACGTTAGCATGTCCTTCTTGATGGCTGTGGGTCCCTTCTTCTGAGAGTCAAAAGCCCGCCAGCGTCTACGCGCGGTCGTCTGCAAAGGCGTGCTGTTTTGCTAGGGCGGCAAACCTTTATTGGGTTACCTCAAGACACCCAGCGTTGATATTGAGCGGTCAGGCAAAGGCTCTCTTCTGCGTGAGGAACTCAAAGAGGAAACTGTCTAGAATGATTTGTATAAAGGAATCCTTAGCACTGAAGGCGGAGACGATGAACCCGTCAATAGTGGAAAATATAAAGATCAACCATTCACCACGAGCAATGAAAACCCACGCGTATCTGATACGACCGCAAAGGAGACGCCGTCTGCAGCAGAGAAGGGCAGACACGGCAATAGTCCTGGCGTCAAGGAAAAAGACTCCAACATGATGTTTTGGATAATGAGAGTCAGGACGCCGAACAACGGTGACGCCGAACAACGGTAACGCCGAAACTCACTCTGGCGAAGCGGACGTAGCCAATCTATTCCCTGCTGCCTCTGTGGGCTCTGCACCTCCCACTGCAGCAGCAGAAAAACACAGTCCATCAGGCGTCGCTTCGGACACTCATGCCACGAGTGCCCCATCAGGAGCAGTGACTATGGTGGAAGGGACGGCTGCTAACCGAAGGAGGCACCAGCGGAAAGCAGACTTTTACGGTGGAAGGCAGGTCCAGTGCGGCCACTACTACTCTTCCACCTGCATTGAGCGGGAGCAGCAGCGTGGCACGCACCAACCGCACTGCAGACAGCGACGGCGCNGTGGAAGGGACGGCTGCTAACCGAAGGAGGCACCAGCGGAAAGCAGACTTTTACGGTGGAAGGCAGGTCCAGTGCGGCCACTACTACTCTTCCACCTGCATTGAGCGGGAGCAGCAGCATGGCACACACCCACCGCAATGCAGACAGCGACGTCCATTCAGCTTGCGTGACTGCGCTGCTGCTGCTGCTGCTGCTGCCCGCGATGATTGTATGCGTGGCTGTGAAGGAAGCGGCTTGGGTGGGCATGTGGTGATGGCTGTTTACTGTGTAGTTGGGCTGAGGGTTGTGGGCTACCACACCGACTGGTTGGGACTGCTGTCACTCTGTCTTTTTTTTGTTTTCTTGCTATCCCGTTGTGGGCGTAACGCCGACCCACTTTCCCTCGACGACACGCACTGTGCACTGCACTTTGGGAAGGGGAGGCGTGTTTTTTCTTTTCTTTTCTTGCTTGGGCTTTGCTTTGCGCGCTGCTGCGCACCGCCCACTAACTGTCTCTCCTGCTGGG